TATTGGTACCCCAATTTTGCACTGTACCCCCATGTTCACGTCATTTTTTGTTGGACTGGTGCGTGTGCGACATCACTCAGGCGTCAGCAACATCAGCAGCTCAATTCACGGCTAATCACTTTCATATCTTACAACAAAGGTGGAACATGAACATAATTACATATCTCACGCTGTACAAAATTGACAAAACCATACAAAACCTACAAATTTCGCAAGCTTTATCCAGAGACCCTGCCTGATGCCAGGCTGGAGACTTCTTGCCCAGCAGACTTCGACAACTTTTGATCTCGATCAAATGCCCCGGCCCCGCTGTCGCGCTCGTGGCATCCCAGCTGACGCCATCAGGGGAGGCACCCAACCACGGCAGCGCAGGGTGCACCAACAGACCCACCTGCTCCACCTGCTCTCCTTCCGGGGTTCCAAAAGGACCAAAAAAAAGTCCTCCAACAAAAAAATGGTCTCTTTGAGTATTATGGAAAAGAAATGAAAAGAACATTAAAAAAACTACATTTAACATTGAAGCTCCTCCGCTCCCACATTTTGATACATTTTGACTGTAGGGAAGGCGCCCATTTCCCACAAAGAACTTTGGGGTGAGATGGCCACAACCCACTCCTGGATGTAGTCTCTGATATTTCTCCAGGGTCCGATCCTCGAAGTCAAAGGACCGGTTGATTTTGTGATTCAAGCGCTCTTGGCCTCAGGAAATTGCCACCCATCCCCGGAGGGCACTTCATGACCGTTTCACCCATGTGACCAAAACTGGGTTGAGTCATGGGGATGATCATCCCACACAACACAACTGGTAGAGGGAAAAAAACATTGAAACACAAACCACCAACCCAAAAATCAAACTCAACGGGCTCTATCCACACCTTCATGTTTGGAACATGAACCTTCGACCACAGCTCCATCGATCCGTGCCTCTGTACCACCAATGGTCCAACCACTCCTAGAGAGGTTGACCGGAGTCAATCTTTAGAGTAGGTCCCAAACCAATTCCATGATTCGTTATAGTTGTGATTAATCAATATCCGTCTTGCCATCCCAAAACAAATGGGAGAATGAAACCAAAGAAAAGCAACAATGCAGAAAGCCTCAACGTGCAACTAGCACAGCATATTTCTTTGTCTTGCAAGTCCCAGCAGCTTGAACTCAATGTATAGACATCATCAATGGCAAGGTGGCCAACTGATCCAATAAACAAAACAGAAGCCTTCCAGTGGTCCTGTTTGGACCAGCTCATCCCATCATTCCCCCCATGTTTCCCACAGCTCCCCTCCTTGGCCAGCCTCCGGTGCTGCCCCACCCGGCGTACGGACACAAAGCGACCGGCCGTGAGCCGCCAGCGCCGCGCGGCCAACCAGGCGGGGTTGTAGGTGCCATCCGGCAGGCGCTGCGGCAGCCTGGTTTGCCAGGTGAAATGGGTGGCTCAAAAATCAGCACGGATCCACATGTCAAAGGCCTTCTTAGGTAGTAAACTATCCAAGTTTGGGTGTCCCACAGCCGGTCCCACACCAAAAACGAAGATGAGGGGGTAGGAAGTTGGCCCAATAAAATCAGGAATTGACCAACAGGAACGAGGAAAAAAGTGCCAAAATGATACTAATGCGCAGTAACAAACACGGGGTGGAGAATTGACGGACAACATGCATATAACAGCAGTCGGTATACGAGCTGTTGTCACCAGCTAAATGGCAACAGGAAGTAGGAACCTGTGAGGTATTTTTCAACTGGTGGTCTTTCAAAACAGCCATGTGTCCGGCAAGACTGGCCGTACCTACAGTATCCAAGCCACAAGTTCTTCTTTTTAAGGTACCCTTGGATTTTCCATACCGACAATCTCTATGATGTCAATCCAAGGGGAATAATATGAGGAAATCGAGACCTCCAAGAGGGTCTCCCCAGTATCTGATTGACCTCACCAGGTTGTGCATTGCAGGTTAGCAGGCCAGTAAGTGCCGAATCTTCCCACCTGGATGTAGTAGACGAAATATGACACTGGTCGCTAAATGCCATGTTGGATGTACTGGTCGAGAATGGGCCGGAAGTATGGTGAGCCTCAACACCTTGACCGCCCTAGTGGCAGCTGTGGCAGAACAAGTTCTTCTGGCAAGAACTCACGCCAAGCCAACCACCCTTTGGTTGTCGCCAGTAGCTGGTACACCGCATACTCATGGTTGATGATTTGGGGAGGTCATCTCCAAAAGTGATACATGCCTTACAATGGTACCCTTAGGGGTTACCATGCATCTTGGGTTGATATCTGTCTGCCTGGTTGCCAACCCACGAAAAAAATAATCTTCAGAGTAAACACCCGCCATAATTGGGGTTCAATAATTTTCACTGGCCAATACCCAAATGATGAAGAACCACTGGCATGATTGGTTGATGGTGGAGACTGGTGATACAGTATGATATGTGATAGTGATAGTGATAGTGATGGTGATAGTGATAGTGATGGTGATAGTGATAGTGATAGTGATGATGATGATGATGATGATCATGATCATGATCATGATCATGATCATGTGAGATCATTAGCATTATCATTATTATTATCATTATGATTATTATCATTATTATTATCATTATTATTATTATCATTATTATTATCATTATTATCATTATTATTATCATTATTATCATTATTATTATCATTATTATTATCGTTATTATTATCGTTATTATTGTGATGGTGATGGTGATGGTGATGGTGATGGTGATGGTGATGGTGATGGTGATGGTGCTGACGACTACCAGCTAAAAATGGGATTTCCACCGAAGGATATCTCCACCACGATGCCGCCTCCGAAGCCTCTTGACGTCCTCTGAAGACACCTAGAGGTGACAATGTGCCGTTGCCTACATGACTGGGTCCATGAAAGGATTTGCTCAGAAGTTAGAAGGACTCCCAATTGGTTTAGCTCGGCGGATCCCCCATTTAGATCCATACCTGATGGGTGCCTCGTCAATGAATCGGTTGAACATTAAAATATGTGTTTCAAAAAGTATGTGAGACTATAAACCAGATACTTTAAATCAAGGGTTTATCATCATATTCTCAATGAAAAAAACATACACTGGGCAGTAGATTGTAGATCAACCCCCCTTTTTGATTCATGCACCCTTCAATTGAGAAGATTCATGTAAATTCAATGTGCTTCCAATTCAACTCTTTTTTATTGATTCTCAAATCCCCTTTGTGCTGGTGAAACCCAAACACTTTATGGCCATTTATCAGTTATCGTCTTTTGATTCATACTCAATTTTTCTCCACTTGACATTCCCACAAATTGGTAAATTCCGTTCAGCGCCAATTGCGTTTTTCATTAAACCCTATTCATTGTTTGTTACTCTCTGGTACTTTGACATAGCTATGGAAAATTGCCCGTTTATAGGTGGTTTTGCCATTAAAATTTGAAATGATAATTTTTAAATCATCTACAGTATCGATGGGCCATCTTCATTTACTATCCATAGGCTAGTTTACCTACCGGGTAAATCATGGTAAATCTCCATGATTTATGGGTGAAAACCCGGCCCGGTTCACCGGGCCGAGCGCGCCTCCAACGAGTCCAAGATGGCCGCCTCTGCAGCCCGTAGGGCCACCTGACTGGCCAGCCCCGCGTCCGAAGCCTGGACGATTGGAAGCAATTCACATGAGCCATGGTCAATACTCACTATATGGTTGATGGTCATCCCATCCATAATATGGATCCTTATAATGGTTATTATAAATCCCTATGAACCATTGGATGACTAGCCCCTATTAATGGTTATTAACCATGAGTATTGACCATAGCTCACATGATGTTGAGATGGACTTAGATCTTTCTTTCTTGCTGTGGGAGATGAGGTGATGTGACCAATATTTGAGGAATGCCTCGTTTTTTGCAAGCATCCAGTCGGCAAGAGAAAGCAATCAAATCAAGTCAGGGTCCAAGTCTCGTTCAGAAAATCGTCCAATGATCAATGATTCCAATGTTTTCTCAATGCTTAGCAGAAAACTCGAAGCCTTTCCCCATGGTTGGACATACCCAGATCCAGACCTGAGAAGTTGCAAAGTTCAACAGGATATCTCCTGTGCATTTGCTCCCCGAAGCATTGGATCTGGTTTTGGTGCACTGCCCAGAGACCGCAAGTTGCCCTGAGTTCCCCGTAGTTTCAAGAAAGTTTTGTTTAGCATCTGGTGTGTCACCATTCTTCTTGGTTTGAGCCCATTTGTGTTAGGTTTTTAGCACCCATTTGGGCTGGTTCCATCCCCATTTGAGTTTAGCAACCCCCCGGAATGATAGAAAAGCTGGAAACAATGACATTATGACTTAAATATCAATGGGCAACATCATGAATCTTTCGGGGGTTCCAGACGTTCCAGAATCTCTGGTTTTGTGGCCCATCATCCATCATTGTGGGAGTAGTCCTGTAGTCCGTCCATCCCACGTCTCAAAGCTTTCGCAGCTGCACCGCAGGCTGCGATCTTTTCCAGCGCAAACCGCTGGCCCCACTGACCGCTGCGCCCATAGCGGTGGCACCGCAACGGTGAAGGGCAGGGCACATGGTTGGCAAACCATTGGGAAAGGCCAGAGTCTGTTGGATCCCAATTGCTTCATTCACAAAGTCAATCATCCAAATAGGGCGTGAAAATTAGGGACAAACCAACATGTTGGGGGACGGATGTATCCAATGTACATAAGACAAGAAAGATACGCTTTACCAGAATTGCTCAAGAATAAATGAGCCTGAAAATGTCTGAAGTGTGTGGGTTGTGCGCTGAGCCGGAAAAATTCCACTCTAAGCTGTCTGGTGCTGAGCCAGGTTGCTAGCACAAGGATCCCATCGGTTGGGAGGAGTGAAGCAGGGAGCGCAACCAGAAAATTGTGGATGGCCCCTGAGAACCAGTGATAGATTCTATCAGTTGTAGTGGCACACTGCCAGAGGATTGGAATTGCGTCTCTCTGTGGCATCTTGCAACCTCCAAGCACTTCATCAGTTTTTTTGCTGACTCGCTGTCAGATCTAGCACCTCTCAACTCACCGATTGCTTCACGGCAATCACCTGGCTCAAAATCTGACGCCATGGCTGGTCGATACGGCTAGGGTTCAACCAACAAGAACTTGAGTGGATGAAAGGTAAAGGCGGTGTCATTAGTAATGGAAGAACCTGTTCCAGGAAACATGTAGAGATGGGGTACATTTAAATCAGGGAACAAGAAGATGAACCTGGTGGGGCTAGCTTCAATGGCTTCAATGCCCTGTTTCGGTACAGAATGCCAGGCCCAAACCCTCCAAGGCACCTCCTCCGCCAATGCCTCTCCCGTCTTCTCCGCCGCCGTGCTCAGCACTTTTCCCAGCTCAGCCGCCTCCTCGACCGCCTCCTGTGCGACCTGCCAGGTGCATTGAAAGAGGGGAAGCTCAACAGCTGGAGATGTGGTTTCCATGATTTTTGTTGTTGTTTCATAGAGTTTCTAATGATGTACGGAAATGGTGTTCCGTGCTTTTTCCATCCATGATCATAGTTGATTGAAATGATTTATAGAATTGTGGTGGAAGGATTTCCTGGTTTTTTTTGAATTCTCTCATGCCTTATTTCCAATTATTTGGAGTCTTGGCATGCTGTCAGGTTATTTTTGGAATGATTGAGTAGTTGTTCGAATGAATTTTAGAATTTTCTGTGAGCAGTTGTTCCAATGGAGTTCTTGGATTTTTCTGGTTGGTTTCAACCTTTGCCATGCACGAAATTTTGGTATGGTTTCTGTATGTATCTATTGTTGTCTGCGGAACTGTGGTTGCAGGCCGCATTTGGGTTGGAGAAAAAACGGAACACGTGAGAAGTGGAAGTCACAACTAATTATTATGAGGCTTTGCCTGCCAAACCAATTGACCTGTGGGGAGAGGGAGAGATAGAGAGACTTCCAAAACTGAATTCGCTGCAGCACTTGTTTTGTTAGTTTCTAACCCAGAAGAACAGTCAATACGAGGATCATTGGCTGAGGAGCCTCATCGCCTTCCCAAGTAACAAGAAAGAATCCAGTCGGCATGGGGCTATCAGCCCAGTGGGAATTCCCAGTTCATGGAGTATCCTATGATAATCCCCAATATATGGGGATGGGTCAAAACCCTATCCCCCTGGTGAACATCAAAATAGCTGGTAAATGGATGTTCATCCCCCTAAAAATGGTATTAATAGGTATTGACTCATAGCCATATTGTGTAGAATCCCACATCAACCAACAGGGGCTTTCAACGCTTAAATCACAGTGAGGACGCCTTCTTAATCGCACTGGCTCCCTCAGCACTCGCTTCGCGCAGCAGGCCTTTCCGCGTCAGGGATGAACCAAGCATGGATGTGACCAGCGGCATCGCTGCTTCAGCTGTCAAAGAATGTCTTTGTTTACATAGTGTATATTACTGTAATGTATATTAATGTATACCATATACTAGTAATAGTGACAACATCAAAATAATTAAAACAGTAAGAAAGAAACTTGCAAACCCTTTCTTGCTGGTTCAAACTCAGATCAGCGTGAATTCTCCCCGACATCGGCCCACCTTCTCCTGCTTTCACGGCAGCTGTCTCCACCCTCTGAAGAAAGCCAGTGTCCTGCTCAAGAGTGACAGGAGGTTGTTAGTGGCAGAGAAGCCTAAAGCTATGGTCTGATAATGATAGTAATACTGATGACGATGACGGCGATAACAGTGGCGAGGAACAGGATGAGGATGATTCGTGACAAACATCTTCAAGCACCAACCCAGTTCCCTTTTCGTGCTTAACTTCGCGGCCAGAATGAAAGTATATATCACATTGACCTGGAATACCAGCAAACATTGGTGGGAGATCGAAGCAACTGGCCCTTTTCGTGTCACCCCTTTTCGTGTCACCCCACCTTGCCGGCAGACTCCCTGGGTGGAACAGCGCTGTGTTTCAGTGAGCGATTCAAGTCGTGTCTCAAGAACTCGATGTATCACTGAGCCCTCAACGAGGAATCCACTTGGATGTCCGAGGCCTGGCCCGTTGACGAAGCAGGCTTGGAAGATGGCGTTCCTATTCGAAAATGACCATGTTTGACTCCAATAGATAATGTGCGTGTAATATATATATGTATGTATATGTATCATTAAATCTAGTTGTAATATAATATAAATAAAATATAATAAAATATAATATAATATAATATAATATATATATATATATATGTAACATATGTATATGTATCATTAAATCTATTTGTAATATAATATAAATAAAATATAATAGAATATAATAAAATATAATATAATATAATAATATAATATATATATATATGTAACATATGTATATGTATCATTATATATATTTGTAATATAATATAAATAAAATATAATAAAATATAATATAATATAATATAATAATATGTATATATATATATATGTAACATGTGTATATGTATCATTAAATCTATTTGTAATATAATATAAATATAATATAATATAATATAATATAATCGAAGGAAGTTTAGAA